GTGTGTGTGTTTTTGCCACCCCATTTGATTTTCATGCCACCCTAAGAAGGTTTCTCTAGATCCACCCCTGACACAAGATGAACATCAAGGACCAAAATGTGTGAGGAATGTTTCCAGCACCTTGATGAATATGTGCCATGAAGAATTAAAGCAGTTCGCAATGCAAAAAGGGGGTCCAATCCAGTATTAGCAACGTGTACCTAATAAATGGCCAAGAGACTATGGTATTTGGGTTTGGTAACCATGCCATCACCTGCTGCTTTGTGCATTTAAGCAGATGCACAAAACACAAACAAAACACTTTAACGTGTTGTACTTGACTGCTCGTCAGATCAATTAAAATTCCTCACACCCAGCAAAGGCCATTTTATCTGATTTGTACTAGAAAGCAGCTGGAGGCTTGTTAGAAAGGCTTATAACAACAATAAAAAGAATAACAGAACAACCTGTGATCTTTTTAGAATGAAAATCAAACCCAATCAACCATGCAAAAGCCTAAAAAGAGGCCACCCAGTTCCTCCTCTCATGTCAGCGTGAAAGTAACAATGTGGAGCTTTAGGACCATTCTGAAACACAACAGCTCAAAGTGTTAATAACCCAAGGTTAGAACAGTAGATCACTGAATTATGTAAACAACACGAGTGCTTAACCTCCCCCTCAAAAAACCCAAAACAACAGAGTTATGATTAGAGTTGTATAGATATGGATTTTCAGGGTTAACGGCCAAAAAATAACAGGTGCATAATAAGATAGAAAGATAATAGAAAAGTGAAATAGGAAACAGATGTAGGCTGGCTTTAGAGTGTAGTACAGTGCAGTATTACTGTACAGATTTGGTTTAGCTGTCTTTGTTGGGTGTAGGGGCTGTGGAAGGCAGGCCGGTGGAGCAAAAACAGGATGTGGCAAAGTGGTTTCATATTCAGCACAGCTTTTTGAACATGATGCACTCTTTTGATAGGTTCAGATATCACTGTTGTAATATGTAATTAAGTCCTTCGTTTGGGGGTTGATTAAAAAGAAATATAGATCAGGGTTTAGCTCTTAGGCTGCCTTCGGGTTCATGTACACCACCAGACTTGTTTTGTTGGTTTATATGTCCAATAAAGCAAAATCAAACCAAATTAACAAACTTCCAACTGAAAAAAAAAAAAGAAAACTATATATATAAGTTCATTCACAGACCTGTGCAACAAGTAATGAGACATGCATGTTCTGCACGTGTACTTCACAGACTTCACACCTGCAGTTTCCAAGTGACTTGTCAACCTCGCAAGGAACAAATTCAAATTTGCACCTTCCTCTTTCCATAAATAATTGTGCGTTTTCTTATCTGTGCTCATCACCACACCCCGTCAAAGTCTCTCTTTAATCTCTGCTCTCTCCGCCCCCTTGGAGGGCTTCAGCGAGCACTTTCTGCATCACATGTCATGCATCACCCCCCTGCTGTCTCTCTCACTCACTTTTTTTCTTCTTCTTCTTTTTCTTCTCAGCGCGAACGCTGTCGCACTTGTTCTAACACACCCTAAATGACACAAGTCAGCCTCTTTGCCATTCTTCACTCTCCAGCAACACAAACAGTATCTCTCACTCACAACTTTGGTAAGTTTTTCGGGGTTTTTTAAAAATGTCCTTCCTCTTTTTCTCTTAAGCTCATTTTTGCTGAGCACATCTTTTACACTGAGACTGCTTTGTCTGCTTTTCCCCTGTTGTGATTTTTAATACTTTGGATTTTGAAGTACTTGAAGCATTTATTTAATCTATGCTAAGCTACATGTGAGGTACAATTACAGCACCTCAGGCAATAATTTGCAACTTAGATCAGTTACTCTGATCCATTTTGGCTTTAATTGCTCTTTGTAAGTGGACCTGCTTTAATTGTTGATTAATTTTGCAATAGTTGATGTCGGCTCTCGGTCTGATGAACGCCGAGTGAAAAAGTTTCCACCCATGGCGGGCTGACTGATGCTGTTCAATTATCATTTTGACAGGAAACCAGCAAACGCTCTGAGCGGTCTGCAAAGCTTCCTGTCATCCTAGTGAACACAATTTAGAGTTTAACAAGGGCAGACTTCCTGTAACATCTCCAGTGTGAGTATGTATATAACTATAACCTGTGAGCCTGTGTTATGTTTTGGTAAAGATTGATTTTAAAAAAACTTTCTAAATTTTAATGTGCAAAGAACACATTTGTATATGGAGAAAAAGTTTCAGGTTAACGCTGAGAAATGCATCAATGTTTCCTCTCGATTTAGAAAGCTACAATTAGTGATGCTTCATCATAAATTGTGCAATATTGTGCACTTGCTGTTCAGATGATAGGGCATTTCAGTAGTACCACTGCTGTTTTTGTGCAGTGTTGTGCATGCCTTAACTTTGTCAATTTACCTCTTTTTTAATTTCATGTTTAGATCCTGAGTATAAAATTCACCAATGGATCTCCTGATGACAAGTTCACAGCTGCTTTGAAAGCACCAGGAGTTTGTGACTGTAAAGTTCAGCCTGTAACTGAGACTCCAAACCATCCAGGAATTTCTTTTCTTTAATTCAACTGTAACTTCTTCCTAAGGAGGTAATGCACATTTTTAATTACATTTAATTGTAGCAAAGTCAGCTTTGTGTCATTGCAACGAGTTAAAAGTGGACTGACAATGAGTTCAGAAGCCCTACACAAAGTCTGTGGCAGACTCTCGGTTTCCATAGTTTAAAAGTGCAAAGAGAGAAACAGCTTTCTGCTTTTGTGTTCCCTCAAGTGCTCACACTGCATTGTTTTAAGTGATAAGGCACACCCTTGCTAAAATAAACAGTGAAAGCTGCTCTTAAAGCTAAAAATGTACCTATTTTTAGAAGTGCTTGTTTTGTGTGTGTGTGATAAACAGTGTTAATGACTTTCTTGCCAAGAGTTTGATAAAAAAAAAAAACCATATTACTGTCATATGTAGAAATATGAAGATGATGCAGACAGTTAGCTTTGCTAAGCAGTGTTAGAAAAAAAACACACAGCTTTTGTGTTTGAAAAAAGGCCTAAAGCAGCTGTAAATCTTGCTTGCTTGCTATTTCTTTTTTTAATTTGCACCACAACGCAACTGTCAGATTTAGTTTGTTGTGTCAGAATGATTCTTAGCTGGTGTTCTTGGGACCGAAGCAAACTGTAATGCAGCAAACGACTGAAACAAACTTTCAAAAGTGGATATAAGTGCCAAAAATTGCGTGTTTGTCACTCTAGAATTTTGAAAATTTCTAATTTATGCAATTTGATCATCATTTTCGGCCGTTTCACTGCAGAATTTCAACTGGTGGATAAAGTTCACAGGTTTGTCTCTTTTTGACTATAAGAGAGTCAAATTTATGAGTTAAAAAATGTCTTCGGAGCGCCTTTGTAAAATGAAATAATTGCAATGACACATGTTCATCCAACTTTAAACCACCAGCTAACCTGACAAGCAGTTCTGCCCAGACCCAGAACCTGCTTACTGTGAGGTGATTAATGCGCAGCTATCCGTTACAATGGGTCTCTCATTTAACGAATCAAGCTAGACTATGAAAGGGACAAGGTTAGTTAGTACTTGACCACGGTTTGCTCCTGCTAGACCGAGCAGTCTTTCCACTGCAAGCTCCACCCACAGACACATTTTAATGCTCACATACAAATCCAGATAAATATATATCACACCTCACACCCTGTTGGCAAGTTATTGATTGAATGCATATGATTTCACATTAAGATCATTCAAAGAGACAAGGCTTGCTTGAAAGAGATTTTACTTGGCTATGTCAACGACCATCTTGAGTTTTCAAATGCCTAATGGGTTTTATGAAGAAAAAAAATCATATAGGAATTTATACATCAGCTTTGCCCCTTGTGTCCACCTGTGACTGATTTCCTTGTACTTCACCCTTCGTACTTAGCTAGTCTATCCGATTTCAGGCTTCAATTAAACGAAATTAGAATAATGTAAAATGTCATTTTTCTAATTTGACTTGGTAAGAATGTAAACAAACACATTTTCTGAAATCCTACATCACCAAAAGATTTATGAAAATGAACTGATTCCCCATGTGTGTTCATACTAATTCTGAACCTCTTCTCTGTCTTTCCTTCAGGAATGGACAGCAAAACTAAGGTGGTGGCCCTTGTTGTCACCCTATTACTCCTCCTTGTTGTGCTCTTTGTACTGTACAAGAAGCTGAACAGGGAGGCTAAAGGGGAATATACAGTCCGACGCATTGTCTACAAGGAAGGAGGTCTCAGGGACCAGGCGAGAAGTGCAGCGTTAGCTGTGGGGGCACGTCTTGGGGTCCAGCTGTGGCCTGGAAGTGATGAAGAAGAGGAAGGGGAGGAAATGCAGGAAGTCCAAGATGAAGAAGAACAGGTGGACAGTGGTGGTAGTCAGGAGAGTGACACAGAGGGAGATGAAGAGGAGGAGGACAACGACACTGGTAATGCTAAGGAGAAAGAAAGTAATACTTCAAATGATGACTCAAGTATTGGGAGTTCAGAGGCAGGAGAGCAAACCAAACTTAACGATGAGTCTGAGCCAGAGGGAGAGACGGAAGATAAAAGTGAAGAAAAGGAGGAGAAAGTGGGAGAAGAGCAGAGTAAAGCTGAGGCAAGTGGAGGGCCGGGATTGCTGATAGATCTAAAGCAGTTCTCTGGAAGTGCGATCTGGTCTGAAGAAGGTGGTGAGGGTAAAGGTGACGTGACAGCGTTGTGAGAATCAGAAATAATGAATAAGACTGAGGAAACTGCCAAATCAGGATTTCACAAACACCAGCTTCATCCCCTAAATGTCTCCCCACTGCAAATTCCTTCTATTAGTCTAAAAAAATAAAATAAAATAAAAGATACATGCACCCACCCATTAAACCCAAAGAGCTTTTAACTCTCATGACCTCACTGACCTTGCTTTCCTCTGGTCAAATTTTTTTGATGAATAAAGCAGTTATATAAACATACAGGGGTGCTCTAGATTGTAACTGTAAAGTGTAAAAAAAAAAACAATACTTGTCTATACTCTTTTGCTTTAAATGTTTATTTTAATTTACATAAGAAATTGAAAACTGGAAACTTTTTTTTAGTGTTTTCTGCTCTGTTTTTTGTTGTTCTTTATGCCGTTTGTAGAAATAAAAAAAGAGTAGTAATTAAATATAGTGAGAACAAAATAATGCTTTATTTGTTTTATTGAAAACAAGTGAATGTAACCGATCAAACTTTAAGTCAACATACATTTTATATGGTGTGTAAATGGTTGAAAATTTAATAAACCACATACTGAAAATACGAATGAATTGTATACTTTAAAAATATATAAAACATGCAGTAATGCTATCAGCGGAAGCATGTGTATATAGCGTGATCATAGCATGACGAAGCTAAAATTCTTCCGTGTTTTATGTTTTTAGGGTTTTAGAGAAAAAACATGCTAGCGGTAAGCCACAAGTTTCCTGTTGTATGCATTAACCGGAGCAAATACATATGAATAACAATATAACTTTCAATATTAAAGTCGTAATTACACCAAAATCAGCCACAATAGCGGTACAGCCATGAGTTACAGATAAATGCTCTCCTTGTTGATTATTCAGCCAATGGGGATGTAGCTCAGTGGTAGAGCGCATGCTTCGCATGTATGAGGTCCCGGGTTCAATCCCCGGCATCTCCAAAGATTTTTTTTTCAACTTTTATTTCCGTATAAGTTGTAAATGTTATAAAGTGCAATATTGTCACAGAAGTCACAGAAGAAGAGGTAAAAAATTTTAAAGCAATACGGCATAACTATATACCAAACACCGTCACCTCAATGTGTGCGCGAGGTGAGGTAGGTTTGCGATTGGCCCAAAGCAGCCCGTGCTCGAATGTGATTGGACGGTGGATGCCTTGGAGGCGTGGGGGTGTTCATACACGCGAGCGTCAAAGATTTATTTTCACCCGTCCAGTACCTGATAGTTAAGTGAGAGCTGGTCGATGGAGGCATTTTGGATGAGCCAATAAGTAAAGCTAACTCCAAACTTAGTGTTCCGAAAATTTATTAGAGCGATTATGTAACACGGACACGGGATTTTACCTCATTCTTACAGTTATATTGGTGGATCAATACTAAACAAACTACTCTACAAAGCAGTGTTGTTGTTTGTTTGTTTTTACAGGAGGAGACGATTTAACGGGGTAAATATTAAAAATCTATTTTTAAAAAAAAAATCCTCCGTTTTTTGTCTGATTATATATATTTTTTAAAAATCTTACAGTTTACTATGAAAGTCGGTTCATGACAGTAACCTAGTTCACCACCGCCGCACCACCGTGAGCATCCAAGTTGCATTTTCTCCTCTCACCCAAACTTGACTGTGGCTGAGAATTGATTTCGGTAGACGTCACTCATCTGCATAGGGAGTAAAATGCAACCATCCTGGAAGGCTTCTGTTCTGTCTTTGCTTCCACGAAACGCTCTGTATCTCCCCCGTGCAATAAAAGGACCTAATAATTGCTGCACCTCCGAAACTACAAACATGGAAGGTACGGATTGCATGTGCTGTCATCCCGAAAGATGCACTTAGAAGCACAGATAGCACTGAAAACACATCTGGGTTGCAAACTGTCCAAGATGGATGCAGCGCCGCTGTGCGCAGGGCTGCGCGGCGGAGAGGCATCAGCGGGGTACCTTTAAACACCCGTCGCCCCGGCTTCTCCTTCATTTGTGCCTCGGTATTGTCATTTTTTGTTTTTGTTTTTGTTTTTCTGTCTTTTCAGGAGTAGGATGTTACTAGCATCCGCCGTAGTGGTATGGGAATGGCTGAACGAGCACGGACGCTGGCGGCCCTACAGCCCGGCTGTCTGTCATCACATCGAGGCAGTCATCCGGAGCGACCCGCGCTGTGGTAGTGTCGTCCTCGGCCAGGTGGACTCTCGCCTCTCGCCCTACATCATCGATTTGCATTCCATGCACCAGTTCCGACAGGACACAGGTGAGAAACGGGAGGGGGGAGAGGGGCGAGAGGGAGGGTGTGTTTGAGAGAGAGAGAGAGAGCGGTGGTGGTGGTGGGGGGGTGTAATGCTGAAGCTGAGCCTGAGGTGGAGGCCTTTTTTTCTTTTTTTTTATGCTGGCGGGTTGTTATTGATAATCATCATGCAGAAGCTGATGGGTTTAGTGAGCTGCTGTGGTCTAAAGATCTCACTCAGTGACATAAATTGAATCATTTTCATCTTAAAATCTCAAATCATTGAATTGCCAGCTTCACCAGTTCAGTGACACCCCCCCCCCTCCACATGGCCCCTAGATTTGTGCACTCCAGCATTGAAGAGGTTGGATTTTGAAAGGTGTCAGCTCTGAAGTGAGTCATTCCTGGCAGGAAGTGTGTGCTTGCCCATGCATGGGAAGGTTTTCATTGCAAAACACGGCCCTCGGTATTGTCTTCCAGGAGACACAAGCGGTGATCTGCCACAACTTCACCGAGCAGGCCAGGCAGGGTGGTATAAGACAAAGAAGGGGATTGTCAGACACCCCCCCCCCTTTTTTTCCCCCCCTCTTTTTGGCAGACACCCCAACATTGGCCTTTTCTCAGCGCTGGCTGATAAAAGCTTTTGTGTGGTTTATTTTCTAAACCCGAAACCAGGCTGAAATGAGGGAGACAGGCAGGGTGCCCCAGTCTGAGGAAGAAAAGCAGTAGCAGCAAGAGAGGAGGAGAGGAATTTCAGGAGTGCGAGGACACTGAAAAAATGGGGTTGACAGGAGCAGAATTCGTGAACGAGCCCATATTATTATGCGTCTGTGCGTGGCAGGCCTCATGTGCTCAACAGTGCTTTATGTTTTGCGTGTTCATTAGTAGTGTGCAATGTTAAAGCTCCAGAGTCACAGTTGCGAAAAGTGTTATTTCACAGAATTTGTACGGTTTTCTGTTTTTCCCTGTTATTGTTGCCAGTGAAGAGGCTCAAGTGTGAAGCATCCTTCTTAACGCAACGTATGCAGTGCTATCGGAAGCCGGGATTTGATGTGGGGAGCTTTTACAGTATAGAGACTCTGTGGAGTTTCTCTAGACACCCAGGGAAAGCAAACACAGTCAGCTTTGGGTCGGATCAAGGCTGCCAGCCAATCGGAATTCAGAACACCATGTGCTGTTACCAGGGGCAACCTGTTTGCCCAAATTCTTAGCAAGCAAACACAGACATGTAGAATTTGTTATGGTTGTAATCTACTTGTCCGCAGCAAATTGTAGTGCAGTCGCATTCCTCGTCTCGCGTCTACTTCTCATCGCCTGGCGTCATGTTGAGCAGACTCAGTGAAAAGTCGCTACAGAACTTCATATTCACAGTACAAGTCTTCTTTTTAATGTATACTAATATAGTTTACTGTTCAGTAATTCAGTCCATTGTGGCGTGTTCTTCAGGTACCCTAAGACCGGTGCGACGCAGCTTCTACGACCCCACATCAGCGCCAGGCCAGGGCTGGTTGTGGGAGTGGGAGAACGACGCTGGCAGCTGGACGGCATACGACACTGAGGTGGGCATTGCAATCCAGGCAGCGCGCGACCGTCAGCAGCCCTGGCTGGACCTGGCGCCGCTGGGTTTCTGCTACCTCATTGACTTCGAAAGTATGACCCAAATCAATGGGCAAACGCAGCGCTGCAGACGCATCCAGCGCCGTTCTGATCTGGCTTACCCGCTGGTATCTGGGCCACTACCCAAGTCTCACCATGCCTGGGGGCCAACGTCCATGCCTGGACACGGAGGACTTCTAGGTGTTGATGTATCTGGAGTGGGCATGGGGATCCGGATGAGCAGCAGTGGGACTGGAAACGGGAGTGCGTACCCCAGCGGGGCGCTCCCGGCTTCAGCCATCACTTCCTTGGGACAGCCATGCGCCTGTCAGCAGTGTATGCTGGTGCTAAGTGTCAAAGCAGGCACTATGTCGACCGCTCACACTCTCGGTCGAAGACCACCACAGACTAAACCACCAAGTCCCAAACTAAGCAGCCTCCCCATCCCAGGAGGCTCTTATTCACTAACCCTCCCTCGGCCTCCAACCCTGTCGAGGTCGCTTTCGCCCCACAGGACATCCATGGTTGGGGCGACAGGTGGATTCAACATAGGTGGTATGGGAGGTGCAGGAGGTATGAGCATGGTTGGTGCTAGCAGCGTCGGCACTACGAGCCTTGGCTACGGAGGAGGCTTCACCCATTCTCTTTCCCTTCTTGGGTCAGCCACAGCTGGTCTCTCCATCTCCTCCACAAGGCCCCCACCTCCTCCTCTCCCACCACCGCTGCCACCGCCCCCCCCGCCCTCCACTACGCTATCATCTTCCACCACCTCCACCCCCCACCCTTCCACCTCTGTCTCCTCTCTCTCCATTTCCTGTTCTGCCCCCGCAGCACCTGCCTCAGGGCCACCTCTCATCTCCACAGCTACATCCACCTGCACCCCATCACCTTCTGCCCGTGTCCTGGGTCCGGTGTCTTCATCCGGCGCAGCCGCGGCTGCTGCCTGCGCGGCGCCCCTGCCACCTCGGTCTAGCCTCGCAGGGCTGAGCCGTCCGGCGCTGCAGCGTATCGCCATGGCTCAGTCGCGTGCCCTTATCGCCTCTGGGTGAGTAGAAATATGCTGTAATGTTTCAGCACCTGTCTCTGTACGCAGAACCTGCTCGTATCCTGCAAAACTTATCAATGATGAGAACCCTCTCACTCACACTTCAACACGTCAGCTGTGAAATTAAACACGCCTTCCACACTTCTGAATGACAGGCTTATGTGTTTTTCTGAGCTTCTCTGTCATACGCTCTGTCAGCAAAACAAAGGTTGTAAAGTTCCTGTAAACCATGTTTTCAGTACATGGAAATTTAACAAATAACTTTCTAAGGCACTTGTATTTTTGTCACAACAATTTCACATCCGTTTTTTCACAGCCTGCAGTTCCTTGGTGTATTTTGCCTCGCATGCTCTCCTGGTATATCATGTCAATTGTTTCCAGATAGACCAGCAGTATAAAAATGCTCATATGATATGAAAGGTACCTACAAATCATGATCCAAGCACTAACACTATGTAATACTAAATACATGAAATGTTTCTGGGCATAAGATCCCATGCCAGTTCACTTTACACAAAAAAGCCCAATCAGGCATCAAGACATGTAAAAAGAAAACATTTTTAGACAGCAATTTCCTATTTGTTTGGGGCTGTCATTACACCGTGACAGCCCCAAACAACCATGTCTGACATCGATGCTCATTAGTATTTCTGAGCCTTTAATCTTTGTGACAAAGTCCACCAGGCTCAATTACTTTCACGGAAATACAATGAAGGGCATTCATAGAGAACAAAGCGAGCTCTCTCAAGTGTTTGCACATTCCAGAGATTAATCACGCAAACAGCAAATGGTGGTAAAGCTCTACAAACACACAGTAGCACAAGTGTCATCTTAAATCAAAGTAAAGTGAAGATGTTGTCAAAACAGCGTCATGAATAGTTCGTATCTGTCACTTAAATAGAAGAACTCTGGTATTCGTTGCTAGTCTTTCAATGAATGATGACCTGATCCAGCTTTTTTTCCCTCGTTATGTGTAAAGAAACATCAGGCTCAACTTAAACAGCTTTTATAACTTTGTAACATAAAATGTAAGAAATCCAGAATTTACTGAAATGTTGTCGCTGAGGACAGTTGTTGACTCTGGCTAAAAGTACAGAGTGAATGTAGGACCAGGAACCTGCCTGGATGTACTCATGATGGATAAAAACTTAGTTTGCAAGTACTTAACTCTAAGAGATGGATTGGTAAGATTTGCTGAATTGTCTGGATAACTTGGTTAAAAAAAACCCCCTTTGGTACAATTAAATATAAAAAATGTGGATGTGGTGTAATGTGATGTAAAGATACTCAAAGATGCATCAAGAAACATTTTACATTTGCTTGTAAAACAAGTCAGGGATGTCCAAAACGTGTCACTGAAAATCTTGATAAGAATTTAGAAAATTCCAGTAAGGAACATTTTAGTGTACAGACATCAGCTGTGTAGCTGCTAAAGTTGTAATTTTAAATTATTGTAAAAACAAATTTCTATAGTAAAAAATGAAAGTAACGTTTTGTCAAGTCACTCTACTGCCTGTAACTGTGCATCAGACAACATCATGGTGACCAAAGTAATTATGGTAGCTAGCAGCCACAGTTATCATTAAAATAAAGGCCCTTGTAGTTTGACTGAAGACAAGGAGCTCCCAACTGCTGATTGCACTCCTGTTTAAAATTAAACAAAATAAATAGATATATACATACAACCAAATGTTTTCCTGTAATATACTGAAATCCATGAATCTACAGCAATTTCTATACATGTCATCTGGAACTTTTTGCATGGTGTTAGCTGTAACTTAAACTAAGAATGCCATGCAGTGGGAATTTATCAAAATATTTGCTAATGAATGCAATATATCAGGAGGATTAATGGCATAAAAACTAGGATTTAAAAATAGGCATTCATGTTGCCTTTACTGCATATTCTGCAGCACCACTCAGCAAAGAGTATACATATAATTAACAGTAACATGCTGTAATTCATATACAACAAAACTATAAAGTGTAACATTATATACCTCATTTTGCAGTCATCCATCGCATTCATGTGATTGCTGTGATTTGAGTTGGAATACGAGATGTTTTTACCTGCTATAACCTACAAAAAGATCTCCTTTTATTAGGGAGAAGGGTTTGATGTAACAGAGAATTTTGAAACTCTTTATCAGAGTGTCGCTTTATGACCGCGTGATCTTCCGGTGTTGACGAACTGAGTGCATGAGGATTAATGAAGGAAGTCGCAGTATCCACGTGTCGGAGCCAGAAGGCGCTGGTTAGTTGGATGTCTGGTCATGGTCAGATGGAGGTGCACTGTTCTTGCTGTGTAACTAGAATTTTTTTTTTTTTTTTTAAACACCGTTGTTGTGTTTAGTTTGCAGCTGGAGTTGTTTGTGGCGTTCACTGTGACTGAGGTAGCTGTTTTATATATAAAACTGCAGACATGCAGAGAAAATGCATGCGTGCATACTGCTCTGCATAGACCTAGTTTCTAGTTCCAAACATTAGACACATAACCATACACTGAAAAATAATTTCCATGTCACCTAATCCATTCGTGCCCCAGCACGGTGACCCAACTGTCTGAATCCTGGCATTAACTGAAACAACCTCAGTGAAACACCAGTTTTTACACCAGCTAAGCCTCAGATTAACACCAATCACAGCAGGATTAATATTTCTGCCTCGTTAATCTCTGCATTTTGTGTCAGGTGAGCTGCATGACAGAGCAATTCTTTAAACATATCAGGTGAGAGTCCAGCAGATGGTCACACCTGCTGCTGCGGTAAAACCACCGACGTCACCGATTCAGAATCGCTCTGATCCTGCCAGCCTGCTCACTGCTTTATCCCCATATCCATGCAACACAAGCGCGGTCACATCCAAACTGTTTTAAACCCGCTGAAACCAGTCATTATTTAAATCCATTGAAATGTGTGGATAATTAAGTTCACCCTTTTTAAAAAGTAAGTAATTAAGAAAGTACAACAAGCAGGAGTTATTGCCCCTGTGAGGCATTTAACATCATTGAATTGCTGCTTCACCTTTCAGTGGGACCTTTCACCTGCTGTGCAATGATGTTATTCACAGAAGGAAATTACATGTAATTATTTTTAGCAAAATGAATTCTGCTGGGGGATTAGGGTAAAGTCTTAACAGAAATCACTTCAAATTGTAATTTTTCTTATCTTTCAAAAACTTAAACTGTTACTGTTTGACACTACTCGGCGCCACAGTCCTCAGTTAATTTTAAGGTTGCATTCATTATATAGAGTAAACTGTCAACCAGGCTGTATATGAAACATGGGCTTATAGTAGTAAATTGTCAGTCACAGAGTAACCACACTCTAAATCATGCCCATGTACAAAATGATAATGATAATAAAATCATGTAAGAGGATATTTTCCAGACTTGTATATAGTCAGACTTACACTTTTGAAATCTTAATTGCAGCGTGTCAATAATGTTTTCCTTTATTCGTATTTTTCTTTTTGTGGCAATGGATGGTGAGCTAAATTATCCACTGATGTTAGCAAGCTGCATCCAAAAACTGTAAAGGTGTAATGCACAGAAACGGATAACCTGCTAAATAGTAATGAGTTAGTAATAAGATAGAAGTTCACTTATTAAGACTTGACTACAGACTTACTGGAATTTCTGTTAGTATGATTAGCTACTATTTTCAGATAACTGCATTAAAATTTCTCTACAAATGCACTTGAGATACCAGTTCAGTGACTCAGTTTAGCTGAAATGACGCCTAGCAAAAAGCCGCCAGTGTCACCATCCATCTGTTGCACTTATACAGTTTAGTGGTTAGTCACACAGACCTAGCGACCAGTCAGTGAGCGCCTTGGCAACTTTTGGCCGCTAGGGAAAAATATGTATTGAAAAATGTGACTGGTGACTGAATGCTTGCTGCGTGAAACAGTTGTAATGAGTGTGTTGCACCAAAACCATCCTTGCAGTTGCATTGGTTGCAAGCAGATTGCCACGGTCACTTATAGTTTGCATCTAAGACACCAAATTCATTGACTGAAAGATGTTGACTGCAGCTGAAACCAGCACCTTTCCAAAGGCACATTTTTCCATTTCTGGTTTGCATTGCACTCTTCAACCAATTTCACTGAGTGACAATGAGCAACCTGCAGCAATCCCCCACCAGCTGGTTGGCCAATACATTTTCCCTAGTGACAGGTATGACTGGGGCCTTCTGAGAGTGTGTTATTAAGAGGAAGATTAAATCGAGTTGCCCAAACAATTTCTTTTGTACCAACTAGTAAACATTCCTGTTCTAAAGCTGGTAAAACATTAACATGGAAGTCTCTGGGCTGTTCTCCCTTTTGGAGCCAGCGTGAAAAAGTATGTGGGTTATCACTACACTGATGACTTTTTGCCTTGCACATATCCTCTTTTGCTGTCAATGGGTCCAAAATATTTATGTGTTGAGCTTTAATTATTCAAATCTACAGAAGAATTCCAGCTGCAGTGAATTTAACCAAGCAGCTCGCTTTTACTTTCTGGAGAGGATCAAGTAGAATTTCTTTAAGACCACAAAAGATGAGCACATGCTGCAGTAGCAAAGGAAGCACAAGACACATGTACATACAAACTGTAGCAAGAAAACATGATGACAAATTGAGGAAGTGTGGTACCAGAAGATGTTAAAGAACTCTCATACTGGATTTAAACAGTCTGCTGAAAAAAACAAAAATATTGTAGCATTTTTGCGGTTTAGTTAAAAAATAGTACTATGTAAGTTTGTTATGTAAAAGAATTTCCTTTAGTAGATGGATTGATGAGATGTTGTTGAGAGTTTGCCTGCAGTGAAATTGAGCAGATGGTTTGTAAGTGAGGAGTTAGCGTGTCCGGGGTCTTCAGCGTCACAGATGCATCACAGTGACGAGAGTTTCCATTGGTCGGCGCACCTGCTTTTTCTGCACTGCCTATGCTTGTCTCCATAAAAAGTAACGCGTCATCATTCGAGCCCGATGACTGGATTTACTTCTGCTTCAAGTTTCAATCAACCAATTTGTTTATTAGATTTGATCCAGGGTGTGAGCTTGTGTTGCCATATGCGGTGGCTTGTGCGTTTCCATCATCCAGCGCTCCAGATGGACTCCGCTCTAATGCCGATAGCTTAACCGAGATCAGAGAAACGTGACTGGCCGACACGCCCCGGCTTGTTTTCTTAACCTTTCTCCACTTTTCTTTCACCTCATACTGCTCACTTATTCCCGCCGGACACACAAATAAAATGCCAGTCAACATTTACCCGTTAGAGATCGAGTCGGTCGGCTGAACGTTTTCTTAGTCACGTAAGGAGCATGCTCAGACGGAGTTAATACCACAGCTAGGACACTTTGTTGGTAAACAAACAAATATAGAGCCACAGCAGCGTGTAATCAGGTTGACCAGTACAGGAACCTGAACAGTCCAGTAATTCCTTACTGTGAGGTTTTCCATGCCATCGTCACATCATTTACTTAGAGAGGGAAATCTTTTTTCTTTTTTACATTTTATTATGTATTCTATTAACTGTAGAATAGTCTGAGCTCTTCTCGTCACACAGGAGTCACTGTTCCTCAAAAGCTCAATTTTTCTTTAGTGACTTCAAGATAAGCAGGTTCAATTCTGCATATGTTAAAATGACTCCCAGATTTGTCATCGCATCTATTTAAAGCTCTGTCCAAAGCTAAGTCACGATCACAATTAAGACATATGAATCTATAATAAGTGAAGAAAGTATCAGTCATTTATCTTCAGCTCTAGAAATGCATTTTGAATTTGATGACTACCAAAAGCACAATCAAGTTATACAAAGAGGAATAAAAGTACTTGAATTATATAGCGCAGGGCCACATACAGGGTAAGTCGACCTTAATGTAAGTGGGCCAGACGAGTGAAACCCTCCTTTCAGTCAATGTGCAAGTGCAATTTCAATTGCCGGATTGGGGTCTTTACTAGGCCAATTCTAGAACCAGGGCCTTATGTTTGCTTTTGTAGTCTTACTCGAAACACTTTAGATTGGAAACCACATTTTCAGTCATACATAGAGTCCTTTATTTTACACTCTATATCTGCTGTGTTTACCCCACATGTAAACCAGTCACCCTAACATGCATGTCTATTTTGCTGTGGTCAAAGCGACCTGCTGAACTTCAAACTGAGCATCAGAATCAGGAGGAAAGATAATTTAAGTGACTTTGATCATGGTGTGGTAGTTGGTGCCGGACGGGCTGGTCTCAGTTATGTTTGTGATTTTCAGATTTAGTACATGTTGATTCACTAACGACATCAGAGTACTAAATCAGCTTTTTAAAGTCAGAGGGATTCTTTTGTATCGCCATATTGTAACTCGTACAGTCACCAACCTGGTGCTGCCTTATGACAGCCTGGCAGTGTGATGTAGCATCTGACAGGTAATCCCTGCTGTAACAAATCTCTGGCCTACAACCAGAGTTTAGCCACCAGATGGAAACAGGTGGATTAGGCCTATAAAAGAGGAGAGCGATCTAACACCGGCACACAGGCAGAGGAAGAGGGAGACGGGGGCAGACACACTGACACACTAAAGAACAGAAGAGTGAGAAACCAGTGGAGAGGAAGCTTAAAAAACGTATCATCTGCATATCGCTGCTGGAATATTTTTGACTCGTATCTGTGGTTTTTGGCACTTTCGAGCAAGAGCGATGACTGTTATCAAAAGTGGCAGACCGTAAGTACGCTCGTCTGATGGGTCAGACACAGCCGTGACTCTCCCTGTGTGCTATACACATTACAGCTGTGCTTAAAGTTACTGTAGCATTTCAATATGTTCATAACAAATTTGACATACTAAACAGCATTTTTTAATATCTTGAACAAAAACTGGAGGTTAAAATGAACAATCATGTCACCTCCTTGTATAAAAATCAAAGCTGCTTTTGTTGGAGTTGATGGATTTTAGCTTAAAGTGTTTATAATTTTGTGATCACCGACCCTGGGATATTACAAGTATTGTTACTGAGAAAATAAAGCAGCCAAGGCTCTGGTGCTGCCATTTAATCCCAAACATATGTGGCAATTATAGGGCAGCATGTCAATCCGTGTTTGTTTCTCCACTTGACTCGGCAAAAGCTCCTTAACCTGCTGACTCTAAGTAAGGTGGAGGCGAGCATCTGCTGTATCTAACTGCACCTGTTCACAGGTCACTCATCAGATTTCTTCAGTCTGCGTAGAGGTGACCTGGCCTGTGTCAGCCATCAGTAGATTCATACAGCTTTGTTTTCCTTGTTGCAGAGTGCCAACAGTTCCAGTGAAGAACCTGAATGGATCCAGTCCTGTACATCCTGCACTGGCAGGTAACCTATGCTAACTACCTGAATCAATCCAAATGATTTAGACTGGATCATTCTCATAACACAAGAGCTCATCCAGCTTTGTGTATGCAATAGGAATGTATGAGTAGTATGTCTCATGCCCCCTCTTCTGGCTATATTCAGGCATAACAGGCATCTTGATGAGCGCAGCAGGGCTTCCTGTCTGCCTGACCCGCCCTCCCAAGCTGGTGCTTCATCCTCCACCTGTCAGCAAGAGCGACCTCAAACCTGTCCCGGGGTTGGGCCACTGCTGTCGCAAGACCACAAAGAAACAGGCCCGTAAAGGTGAGCTAGTTGTGATTTGAAGAAGAGCAAATGTGCTTTGTGACTATAATGAAATTCTCACTGAATTTTGTGTTTCTGTCTGTAGGCAAGACTCCAGAGGAAGTGGTGAAGCGCTACCTCCAGAAAGTGCGAAACCCCCCAGAGGAGGTGAGTTCTCTCCCTATGGAGGGCATTTATCTAGCAAGTCTATTTATGATGGACACGTCATAGCTTCCAGCAACATCTCTTAGAAATCTAACGTATAAAACAGAGCCTGTGTTTGGGACAATAATGACCAGTAAAATGATGTTGGACTTTGATGGGATTCATTCTTAATAAGTTTTAAAATACTTTCAGAGCAAAATACAGCAAAAACGTAAAATATTGGGCCAAATTTCTCTCTTTGAGGCTCAGGACTTATACTCCTGATTATATAACTGAAAAAGGTGGGAGGGAAAATAACCACATCTGCACTATTCTCAGTTTCAGGAGCAAATTACATAGTAGAGTTGTTTTGGTGTCCATATTTTTACGTGGTAGACGTGTAGAAGGCGTACTGATGTTGCTCAAAGCCATGACACGTGCTGAAAGTTGTTGGGAGGTGATCAAACATTAAAAAAGAGCTGCACAGTGTAGCCTCAACATTGTGTCGTGATATTTTAGGGAAATTTGTGACAACAATATTTCTGATGACATAGGGAAAAATACCTGAATAACATTTTACCTTTAATTGCAGCTTGCAGGGAGCAGCATTTATTGTAGTGCAGTAGTAGTGACACAGCACAAGTCAAATGTAAGCACTCCAATGTCTGGAGTCGCTGGATTACAGATATCTGATAACATAAAATACCGGTATTATCTCAAACAGCATGATGTGGCACGTGCTGATAATTTGAAAATTTCTTTTCTGCAGTGGACAGAACTCAAACTGTCCTTTATCTTTCTATGTCAGGATTGCACCATCTGTATGGAGGCCTTGCCCGGACCATCGGGCTACAAAGGTCCTGGTGTGGGTGGCATCTCCAGGGCCGAGTCGGTGGGTCGTCTGGCACAATGCGGTCACCAGTACCACCTGCAGTGCCTCGTTGCTATGTACAATAACGGCAACAAGGACGGCAGCCTGCAGTGTCCCACGTGCAAGACCATTTACGGAGTAAAGACGGGCAACCAGCCACCCGGCAAGATGGAGTACCATGTCATCCCGCACTCCCTGCCTGGCCACCCAGACTGCAAAACCATCCGGATCATATACAACATCCCTCCTGGCATCCAGGTAGATTCAGTATATCGGTGTTTATGTGGTGCTAGCAGCGTCTCTTTTTGAATGAAGTGACAAACTGTTCTTCTTCTGGTCTTCAGGGCCCAGAGCACCCAAATCCAGGCAAACCCTTCACTGCACGTGGGTTCCCCAGACACTGCTACCTTCCTGACAGCGAGAAGGGACGCAAGGTATACATAGAAATGTCTCTTCTTTTGAATTTCAGATGGGTAAGATGGTCATATATTAACACAAGTTCTTTATTAACCCTTTGCAGGTTCTGAGGCTGCTTCTGGTAGCGTGGGATCGTAGGCTCATTTTCTCTGTGGGTACGTCAAGCACTACAGGTGAGAGCGACACGGTCATCTGGAACGAGGTGCATCACAAGACCGAGTTCGGCTCCAACCTCACGGGCCACGGGTACCCCGACCCCGGCCACCTGGACAATGTCCTCGAAGAGCTCAAAGCTCAGGGCATCACCGAGGAGGAGTGTCTACCCAGAGACTGAGCAGAGACATTCACAGCACTGAAGACACTAGAAGATACCAGGCGTGAGTCTTTAAACACAATCCTGGGACGGGGATCCGCAGCTAGACGGACCAGTTCTTTTCAAAGTGTGACGAAACGAACAGAGGAAACTTTTACACCAGATGATGGAGAAGGACTATAAAACAAAAGCCCCAACAGAAATAGCTTCAGCAGAATTTGCTGCGACTCAATTTTTTTTTTCTCTTACGACTGCATGAGTCAGTTTTGATACGTACGTGGGGAATCATTTTCTTTCCTGATGCAGTAATGGTGTCAAGGTTGCCGATGTTACTCAGTGAGACATTTGAGACCACTGTGCACATACGAGTCATTGTTAGTTTGTGGGGGGGGGGAACAAAAACTGTCATTTATACTGTCAGACTTCATATCAAGAATGTAACTAACTGATTTTGTTTTTCTTAAGTGATGAAGTGTTTACCACTCCTGCTGCTGCTGAACCGAATGGAAGTGAAATTTAAGAAATTAATGTGGGTTCGTTTTTAAAGTGTTAGTCCACAAGCAGAAGCAGATAAATCCTCCAAATGTTTGACTGGATATCTGAGCATGGATATTTGCTGACCTCTAGTGGTACTTTTCCAGAACTACATTCCTTTTTAGGTTTGATTTTTAACTTGTGTTCTTGTATGTTATGAATACTTCATATATTATATGATATCGGTTCCATTAATCCATGTTTTTTATACTATAATTTCACATTTTGTTTAATATGCTGTGTTCCATTGTATTGTTTTTGGGTTTGGCTTGACAGACAAAGACATGGGAGGGAAGTTTAGATAAGCTGCTGGTGTACCAGAGTTTGCCTGATACTTTATATGCCATTTACCAGCCCCTTTCTTTAAAAACAATCATTTTTTTTAGTATTTTTCTATTTAAGAAATAAGCTGACATTCCTGAATCCTTTGACCCTGAGAGCATGGGTGTATTTAACAGCTTTCTATGTCTTCTTGTATCTGCATTAATGTTAATGACTGATAGAGGAAACCCTATCGTGGATTAATCCATTACCCCCCTAGGAGGCGTAAATTCCCCAAAAGCTAGGATTGGACCTCCTGCCTGAGCTCAGATTTGCACAGTGTTTTTTACTTAGTGTCAAAAGGAAACAGCTTGTATCTACTGTATTTTTTTCCTTTTATTGTGTAGGATACACACCAGCCTCAAATGCTCTAATCACACTACAGAATGTGGTCAGCGGTTGTATTTGTCATGTTTTGTTTTTTGCCATGCGCGGTCTAAAAGACTTACCGTATCTTGATGTGGGTCCAGCTTGGGCCAAAGTGGTCCACTGTGGACCAGGTTGTTATGTTAAAGAGAAATGCAGCAGTATGTGTCAACATACTAATGTAGGCCAACATCAAAAGCATTTTTACTTTATGATATTTTATGTATGCACTGTATTCTATGTATATGTTTTATGTGCATAAATTTGCATTAAACATTTTTCTAAGGTTCAAAGAGAAAGCCTGAAGCCTCAACTTTTTTATTTTTTTTATTTTTAAGAAGTGATGATCAAGTCTGACTATTTGACTTTCTTGGAAGGTAGCTCTTTAAACTTTTGTTTTGCTAAGATAAAAACTTATTAAAAACATGTATATTAAAAACAAAACAAAACAAAACAAAAAAGCAAATGATATCGGGGTTAAATTTTAGTGGCTTTTGATAAGAAGCAGTCCCGGTGTGTGACCAAGCACAGTAGTAATGTCTGTGTTGAGTCTGCTAACATTAGCAGTGAGTTGTAGCACTGACGCTATTAAAAAGTTAGCTAGATATTACAGCTTTACTTATTAAATAAAGTAACTTGTTATTATAGTTATTTTGTGATAAGAAAAATTAACACCATATTTCAGACATTTGTTGTATTGCTCAGGGGAATTTAGCTTACTGTAAGTCTGCTTCGGGATGCGTTGACTTTAGCTAATTTTACAGCTAGTTGATATTGGAAACATTTATCAACTTTCCCACAAGATTTGGTGCCAAACAATTGTAAGTGAACTAAAAGTTATCCTAGCATTAGCACCATTCTCCTCCTTGATGTGTCATGAAGGTTGTAGAGCTGTGTTTAGCTAGCAGGTATGTCTGCTCTTTGCAGCTAACAGGTACTTTCCACTCCGGTACAATTTACATGACGCTTTTTTTCAATGCTACCAATAGCAGGCCACACGATATCACTTAAGACAAAAAGTAATCTGAGCACTTCAGTAAGTTACCTGTTCCACCACATCCCTGAGTTCCTCTGTTGGATTGAGATCTGGTGACAGTGAGTACATTTGAGTATAGAGAACTCATTGTCATGTTCAAGAAATCAGTTAAGGATGATGTGAGCTTTGTGTTCCTGCTGGAAGCAGATATCAGAAGATAGTTACACTGCAGTCATAAAGGAATGGACAGGGTAAGCAACAACACTCAGGTATGCTGTGGTGTTTAAATCCCTGCACCATTAAACCACTGGCAGCCTGAACTATTAAGGCAAGATGACTGTACCATCTGAATGCCGCAGCAGAAATCAAGGCTCATTAGCACAGGCCATTTACCATTTACAGAGTGCATGAAAAATAAGCAGCATGCTTATAAAGGAGACTGGATGTATTAGATTTTAAGTTCTTCAGTTTCTCCTGAAAAACTTTGTTAAATCGGCTGATAGGACATTTTAATCCAACATTTGATAATTTCTGAAATGCTTTATGTGTGAATACAAACTACACTGTGAGTGAGGTGAAATTAGAAATGAAAGATTCCTTAACGAGTATGTGTTGTTTACATATATACAATTTATTTATTTATTTTTACCAAGTGGCTCTATTTTACTGATCACTCACAACGGTGACTTCTGCCTGCAGACGTTGCATCAAACCGTTTATCCGCAGATTAGTCTGGCTCCTGGATTACTAGTCTGGATTACCTCCACCTTATTGAATGAAAAAATGCACAACGGTAACTAAAATGCAATCATAAAGGACCGCAGAGAAAAGAGAGAGAGGAGGGGGCGGGGCGTGATGCTGAAAAAAGCCGAAGTGACAGATTATTTTTAATATTTTGAGACTCAGTCAAAAAACGATCAACTGTTTAATCCGGAGCAAAAACGCGACGGGGTAACGATTGCAACCCTTTCAAAAAAAATCTTTTTAAGTGTCAGTCAGATTTCTTCAAGCACACCGAGAACCTTTCACGTCAACTTTCGTTTGCGTTTCCATTTCTGCAACGGCAGAGATTTATCTTAAGTGACAGATGTGATGGATCGGGCAAAGCTGCCAATTAGCGGTATGAACATGCAGCGCCCGCCTGTCAGGTTAGTGGGGAGCAGATGGGTTAAAGATCTAATCAGCCTGCAACTGAGTTAAACTGGACGCAATGCAGCTAATGGCACTAATGCACCTAAAGTGAGAATACATGATGATTATTGCTGCATTGCCAGTTTTAAGGTGGCAAAATTAAAAGAAATAAAATTAAAAATGTGGGAGACAAAGCAGGGGCTGAATTGCTGCCAACTTGCTGTCTGTGTGTGAACGACGGTGGGGCTTCAGTGCGGAAATGCTACTGAGAGAAACATGAGACCAGGGGAGGTAGAGGGAAAGGAAAGAAATATGCACATAAACTGGTTAATGCGCACAGGGGCAGGGGAGAGCCGCCCTTTGCAGAGACTGGAATGGGGGTGGGGGGAGGGAGTCCCCAAATGGTCAGAGAAGCCCTTTCTGCAGGGGTCCATTGTCTGCTGACCATGACTATGAAAAGAAAGCTGATTACAGGAGACAGCATGTTGTGTTGCTTCGATGGTTGCCTGCAGTTGATCACTACACGTTGCCGTTTCGTCTGATGTCTCCCTTTTGTTATCCCCACCTAAAAAAAAAAGAGCTTCACAGCTTTGCGGTGAGATGCCTGGGCTTGCTTTCTCAGGTCTGAATTGCAGGCTGCGAGTGTTTCTGCTCTCTTTTTCCCCGCATCCTGCCAGATAAAGCAAATCCTCCCTCTCCTCATCTCAAAATGACTTGTGTATTATTAAAAGCTTTTAAATGGAGCAGAGTGCTGGCTGACTACCAAATCCACTGCCTTGTTGCCAGGGAAACACATACCCATGGTCTCCACTCCTCCTCCTTCTCAGTGCTTTTTTTCCCCCTCCCACCCCTCCTCCCCTCCTCCCCTCCCCGGAGGCTCATATTTCAAAACCATCAGCAGTCTTGTGCGCTCACACTGCTGCCTTTCAACTAAAAGCTTTTTGTGCTTCCAGTGAAGCAGAATGGAGGGGAGAGAGAGCAGATGGGAGTGGTTAGAGGAGAGGGGAGGGAAAATAAAGGGCCTCCCTCACCGTTGCCAGGGCAACTTGATGTCACGGTGACATCACGCACCACTAAAAGCTTTTAACCGGATTCCTCTCCTGCCTTAGGCCCCATTTTGAGTCCTCTTTCAGCTAGACTAGGGGGAAAGGCACACGCAGGGTGGTGGTGTGTGTGTGTGCCTTCCTGCTTCTATCCCTCCATTACTGGAGACTCAACACGGCTCTTTAGCGAAGTAAAAGGCTTTCAAAACCAACCTCTAAAGCTCTGCAAACAGAACCAGCACAGGTCAAGAGAGTCATTTAAAAAAATTTAAAAAAAAAATGGCATCAGAGGATGGTTTCAGCTACCTGATGCCAGGCCACAGTGAGAAACACAGACGGGCCCCGAACTGGACCGATGGCGAAATGAAAGCCCTCCTGTACGTGTGGGAGGAACACCACAACGAGCTGAAAATGAGCAAGAGGAACGCTAAGGTTTACGAGAAGATGTCCCAGAGGTTCTTTCAGCTGACAGGAGAGCAGCGCTTCAAGGAAGAGATCAAGATGAAAATCACCAATATGTCTTTTCAGTACAGGCAAGTGCAAAACCCCGGTCCAAAGTCATGGCTCCAGCTGCTGCATGACCAACCCCCCCCACCCATTTTTTTTGTTTTCGTTTTACATTTTCTCTGCTTTAACAGGCGACTGAAAGCTACAGTTGGCGAAGGCAGCGAGGCGCCGGATTGGCCGTACTACAAGGCCATAGAGAAGATCCTCTCCAAGCCGCTGGAGAACGGCAGGGTGAACTCTTTGGAGTTTCAGGCCTCTGCAGCGGGTCCCTCCACTTCCTCCCAGTCGACAGACAACCTGGTGCCACAGTCAGACGAGGGGCTGATGGGATTCCTGCCAGAGTACACAGGCTCCTCGGACGAGATGGAGATCAAACAAGAGCTGGACTCGCTGAGCTCTGATAGTGAGCACACACAGGGCTCCAGGTAACAGGAAATAGAGGAGACACACAGTGCATGTGTGTGTCATAGTGAATATGTGCACTTTTGAAACACTCATAAAGATAATAATAGATGAACTGACCTTTGTATGCTATTGTTTCAGAGAAGCAACCCACCAGATATACAGTTTTATGCAGTTTTCAGCTAGCCAGCTATAACTGAAAGTGACTACCTTTCCTCAGCTGGGTTACTTGTTGCTATGCTTTATTTAAACCTTGAATGCTAAAATTATATACACAATTGCTTTTTTCTCTCTGCGTTTTAACAGTTTTGTTAGTTTCTGTAAAGTATACTTACTTTACTTACTTACTAATAATCTATGTAGGTCTGTCTGTTCCTCTGATCCACTCCAGACTTGGTGAGTCTGTCGCTGGGGACTCTGGCAAGGGCAGTGCTCAATTTTGAGGTTGTTTAGATGAGCGGTTCTCATTTTTTTGGGGGGGGGGCTAAATGTAGTTCCTTGTTAAAAGTGTTTCCACACTGACAGACGCACACACTATCTTTCTGGGGACATTCATGCAATCCCAAGCCTCTTAACTCTACGTTTAGCCATAACAGCTAAGTGCTAAAGTCTTAAATTCACCCTAATTCTTTAACCCTAAAACCAAGCCTTAGCCCTCAAATCAACTTTTGATGGGCTGAAAAATGAGTCAAAAAGTTCTTGCTTTAAAAAAAAACCCCTCATCACTCTGATGCACTAAAATTCAATCTGGATGTGTTTTCTTGTCATTATTGTTGTTGTTGGCATTAGTTTCCTGTGGCACACCACAGCAAACGCTCACTCATGCTTAGGGATGGGTATCGAAAACCGCTTCTTGCTGAGAACCGGTTCCCACTGTTTCAATTCCTTGGAATTGTTTGCCATTTTTGCAAACGATTCCCTTATCGATTCCCGTCGCCACGAATTACGTCACCACATTGCGGAGCGTCATGTACCTGGCAGGAAACATGGCGGCTCAAACGCTCAAAAGTTTGATTATACTTTACGAGAACGGATGACAACAGGGTAACTTGCAATACTTGCAAAGTAGATATTTCATTTAATGAAGGAAACACTACGAGTATGCAAAAGCATTTGCTCACAAAACACACGATGACCTTAAATGAATGTCGTGTTTTTAATTCCGCTCCGGACTCGTTAATCTCAACCCGGCAGCAGCGTTTGTACGTCCTCTCCCGTTAATGCAGCAGGTAAATAATCAACTAACAGTGCATATTATGTTAATGCGATCTGCCTTCTTACAAAACCTGCCATTACTGTGCATTTAGGTGACCATGATGAGACAGACAGACAGAGTCTGGCTCAGATGCTGCCAGTTCTCGCTGCAGACTACCGGTAGCGTCTCCTTTCAGGCCAGGATAGACGAATGTCACCGAGCAGTGACTAAGTTTGTGGTCAAAGGCTTGCACCCATTTGCCACAGCAGATGTGTTTAATTGTAGGCAGGGACATTACTGGATATTCTTCTGTAATTGTAATTATTTCTACTGAAGAATATTTATGTTATTATTTTACATTTACAATTTTTTTTCCTGGGGACCCTGTGACACCCCATAGGCTGTGGATCTCTTAAGATCTCACTGCTGGGTTTGTAAGGCCATGTTACTCCTAAATTTCTATCTTGTTCAAAGAGAAGATATAAAACAAAGTTCTAAGCTAATCGACCTTAGTGTTCTCCTTTTTTAAAAAGAATCGATAAAGAATCGAATCGTTAAACAGAATCAAAAATGGAATCGTGAAAATCTTATCAATACCCATCCCTACTCATGCTGCTTCTCCAGAAAACTGCAGCCCACAATCTGCCTGTACTGGTTAGGCAAAATCAGAAACATGCATCCAGCTGATGTGTCCTCAGGGCTGTCTTCTTATTAAAACAGCTAAAATCTGTAGATTGTTGCTACCAGTAATAAGCCATGTTTCACTCCCTTTAGCATTGTAAAACACTTGCAATGATTTACTTCTATGATTTCTGCCTTCGGCGCGAGGAGCCGATGCACACAAACCAATGTTATGTTGAAGGTCGTGGAACTAACCTGTGAAAATGCGAACCCAGTGTGATCTCTTTTTACTAGGCACTGCCTGCTCTGAAAGGTTCCCCTCTCTGCTCCCCCAGCTCACATCCTATCTCGGCCAGGAAGAGGAAGGCCAGCAAGCACCTGTCCTTGAAGCGGAAGAAACTGCGAGTCTTACAGGCTATGCTGCAGCAACAGAAGAAGTCGAGCCGGGCCATGGAGGAGACGTGCAGGGAGGTGCGTCGAGCCGTGCACCAACAGAACCTCCTCCAGGTCCAGTGCCTGCAGCTGCAGGAGCGCATGATGAACCTCCTGGAGAAGATGATCCAGCTTCCCGCCACTGCATCAGCCACATGGGGTCAGAGCGGTGTGAAGGATCCGGGAAAACCATAAAGTGTATATTTTTTGTTTTGTTTTTTATTGGGGGGCATTGCCTCACCTATAACCTTGTTGAATACAAAAAAATGATGTATTTTATTTTGGCATTCCAGGTTTATCCTATTGTGAGTAAAGCTCTGTGTAGAAATGGTAGAGACAGGCATGAATACAGGCTTTTACCATTTCTGGAGGAGCATCATTTGTACAAGATAAACATGTTATTGCATTTGTTAGCACTTTAGCATCAACATTAAGTCAGGCTCCACTGTACATTTTCATTTTAGGAACAGTTGTATAAGATTTCTTGATAATTTGCCAAGTACCCTAATAAAAATCACTGTGGGAACAACAGCCATCACTTTTTATTCTTTGCCAGGATAATTACATGTTACATGGGAGGTCTGATGCCAAAACAGGCCAATTTGTAGCAACCATGAACCAGGAATTTAGGCGGTAATCCCCACTGTTACTGCAGTCATTTGGTAAAGAGCTGCCAGCAAATGGCAACACAAGCTGCTTGAGATTTCTCAGAAAAAGAAACCTTGACTATGTCTTTTTGTGCAAAATAGTAGCTTTAATGAAACATTCCTGACTTTCTTTTGCGTGAGAATGTGACAGAGTGATTGGTAACCTTGATATTTATAGTGTTATACTGATATCCACATAAAAATTTCTAGAAATATGGGTCATTAGTCATAATAAGACTCTGACAAGTCAGACAGATTCTTCTATTTGTATCATAACAAAGCCACTGATAGTGGCTAACAAAAGTCATATAACAGCATTTTTACAGCATTTAGTTTTAGGATTTGATATATATAGAAGCTTTCATTCAAGGCAGAAACCCGCAGATTTGTTTCTTGAGAACTGACAACTATGCAAAGATAACCTGCTGCTGTCTTTCACTCTAACATCCCCCATCTCCGTGACTCTACAGTACAATTATTGGGATGCAAAATACACAGAGGGTGGAGGCTGACGTTAGCTGAAATATTAAGGTCTTTGCCTTTCAGCCCATTTTAAGAGGATTTGGAGAAATAGGGGGGATTAGGCTAGTTCCATCACACATTACACCAGCTCAAAGGAAGTCACTCCTTCATGAAAATGAGAAAGCAACATCGTTTGTTTCCTTATAACACACTGAACTGTGTGGCCTGTGTTTGCATAGTATGCTCATTGCTCACAGCCGTAATAAATAAATCACAAAGTGCAACGTCATTGCATTAGACTTCTAATCCTGTTGTTATATAGTGGTTTGTCAAAACGGCTGTCAGCTTCTTGCAAATGAGTAAGCTACACCGCACATGAGTAGTAAGGCCAGGGGTGAGGCAACCGTTGCAGCCCTTTGACCAGAGTTAGTGTTTACACACCATCCGCCGTAAAGAGCCGCAGTCGAGTGGAGGGGAAGGAGTTAACCAGAGGCAAAGTGGATGAGACATACTGCAGTAACCGCAGAGTCATATGGGTAAGACCTTTTTTATTTTTACTTTTTGGTTTTTAAGTGATCAACTTATCACCATTGCATGGGCAGTGCCTTTTAAATTTCATTATATTCCTCCTTTTAGACATATGTCAGGGGTGATTACAGAGTCTCCAGAGAACTTTCTGTGCTCTCACTTGTATACTTAAGCAGAGTTATTTATTAAAAATATCATATATAAATAAAAAAATATATACATACTTTACTTTACTTAAGGGAAAAATGAAGCTTGTCAACTGCCATCATTGTCAGCCAATAGCGTCACTCCCACTGTTTGAATATTGAACGCAAAGGAGATGCTGATTGGCCAGTGGGAGGAGTCACATGTTCCGGAGACGTTACGCTGTCATGGTTACAGTGAAAGACGCTTTGTGATTTCCGTGGTGAGTGAATGGATGGAGGTGGTGCCCTCGAGCTCTGCCATATGGAGTACCGAATCACTGCAGGGAGAGAATAGAGAAAAAAAATGGACGCGTGAAGCGGAAAATGTAAACGTGGTAGACTCGTGTTAACGTAAACGTAAAACCCGTGGGCTTTTTTTTCTGGCACAACTTTAAAAGCAGGTACTGTTAATTTTTTTTCCCCGATAAGGCCTTAATTGTTGTCAAAGTTTCGAGCTACGTTAACATTGTTTGTCGCCTTAAAGTCTAAACTCTAAAAAAAAGTAAAGCAGGAGCTAGCTTTCGCTATTTTTGTTTCGGTTTTTTTGCCCTCATAAAATGACTCGGGCGGTGACTTAAGTGTTGGAACATTTAAAAACTGGCTTACCGACACCAGAGTCTTTCATTAAAGTGGTGGTGAGCAGGGAGCCAGCTGGCGGTGTGTTTTGGGGAGTGGGTGGAGGGGTGACTGGGAGTAATATGCGAGCCGTGTTTGCACATAAAAGCTGCCTCTGTTTTAGCTCTGACAGATAATTGCAGAAATAAGATTGATGTGGGTTGCGTTACTTGGTTATTAAATGAAACTGATTAAATTAAATTAATTTGTTGACTAGGTGAGAGCAAAGAAAGCTAGAAAAACACCCTGCTTTATCTAACACTACTTAAAAAATGTTATTCTGTTTTCAGTATATGGTCTTTACATTATTTATTAGCAGTATTCATCAATAAAATAACCATTTAATGTAATTAATAAAATGTGCTGTAGAACTTCTCATTAGTTTTCACAAAGAACTTTAGAGCTGTCGTTTATTGGCAAGTATTTTTGACATTTTAATGCATGAGTTGTAATTTATTAAGTCTTTGAACAATTTGATGTGGTGGAAAAACATGTCGTCTTCTTTACTTTTTATCCTTGTGTTTTGCTTTGTGTTACCATAAGATGACAACAACACAGTAGTGTTGGCAACGGGCAAGTGTTTCAGTTCCCACATGCGGCAACAAAGATGAGGATACAGGGACAGCCTGAGGGCGCGAGGAGGCGTCTGGATATGAATGCATCCGGTGAGTTCAAGAGCGTGGAGGTCATCCGTGGTCGGGCTGGATATGGCTTTACTATTTCAGGACAGAGGCCGTGCATGTTGAGCGGCATCCTGGAAGGAAGCCCGGCATACTTGGTGGGGCTCAGACAAGGAGATTGCATCATGGTCATCAATGGAAGTGACGTGTCTACTGCTTCTCATGAGGCTGTGGTGCAGCTGATTGGCAGCTGCAAAGGACCCCTGTGCTTGGTGGTGCAGGCTGAAGGCCGAGTGTTGGGAAACCCAATCCTTAATGATGTGAAATTTGGGTTTCCTCAGAAAAGTGGCGTTTTCCAAAAGGCAAGTGTTTTCCGCACCGTCTCAGATGACTCAAGCAACTCCTCCTTTAACGCAAGTTGTTCGGTTGCCGCCAAACAGAGGCCGGTTTCAGAGCCGGATATGTCACAGTGGTCACAGCAGTGGAGTGCTTTAGCTGAGCAGCCAAGGGAGGAGACTTCCACGTCTGGGGATGCAGACTCTGTTATTACAGACGAAGCCAATCCAGACTGGGGTGTTTTGAACATGACTTTGGTGGTTGGCTACCTGAGCTCCACAGAGCTGATTTTGAACACTAGTGAATCAGAGGACTGTTCAAAGGCCATTCTGGAGAGAATCCGACAGCTGGGCACTGAGCAGGACACCCATACCCTTGTGATGATGAAGATCATGTTTGATTGCATTCGTCTTTGTGACGACGCTGGAGCTGTTTTGGCAGCTTTCCCTGCTGAGAACCTGGTCTTGGGGGCTGTGTGTACTGAAGACCCACGTTTTTTTTGCCTGGTCACCACAGGGCATATTATTAATGGCCGTGTGCCAGAAGATAGTCCTCTGCGTGCCTCCTGCCATGTTTTTTTCATTGACCCAGATCTGGGAAATCACAAGGATCACACTGGGATTGCTGGCCGTTTTGGTTTCAACTGCACTCCAGATCCAGATGCCTCGGGCTGCCTGGAATTCCCACAGACTCCCCCGGATGTTCTTAACTTTGTAACAGTACTTTACAGCGACATGGGGGAGGCTGTGGAAAGACTAAGAGTGAAACTGGACGCAGAAGCCCAGGAGCATGCCAAGGAGAACGTCAGCACTGCCAAACGTGGCAGTGCCAGCAGCAATGGGGACAGTGGTATTGGAAATGTTTCTCCCCCTGAGGAGAGAGCGGACAGGGATTTCCCTTCGGTGATCCAAAACCATCCTGGGGCCCACCTCCCCAGCTGTCCATGGGATTATCCTCTGGCTGAGGGCCTCACCCCAATAACCCTCTCCAAGAATGGCCAAAAACTTAATCCAGAGAACACTACCAGCACAGATTCCCTTTCAGAGTCATTACCTGGCCCAGATTCTTTAGTTAGCTTTTATGGAGGACCCCCACCCAGACTACAGTTCCAGTTCAAGCCCCCACCACCTCTTATGCGTTTGGATAAAAAAACAAACTTCTCTGGAGATCCTCTCAGAGGGAGCCAACGGTGGTTCTCAAAGCCAAAGTGGCCAAAAGTCCTGAGTAGTGATCCAGCACTATGTGAAACATCCAACAACAACTGGCCCTCACACAATAGTCTTAGTGCCAGCACCAATAACCTGCCACCTCCAATGAGCCAGATACCCTCGGAAAGATACCAGTCAGCTGAAGTCATGATGCTGCCTCCCAGGGAGGAATGGACCAGAAAGTTTGTAGAACAGAGACAGAAGCAGCAAAAGGATGGCAGCACTAGAAATGTAAGTAAGACACTCTTTCTTGTTTTCTTTCTTCTATTTTTTTTTTTTTTACTTTAAAGCTGCAATCTAAAGAATTTAAAAATAAACATTTCTTATGCTGCCATTGAAGTAGTTAATGAGGTTTATGAGTATGTATAAATAATCTGTGATCTGAAATACAGGTTTCAGGCATTTAACTTCCACAAGAGTCAAATATGAAAAATCATATATTTATCATGTTTTAGAACCCAAAAGGTTAAAATTTCTTGATAGTTATTTACAAAAAAGGGCAAAAATGTTAGAAAATATTTTTTTAATTTCACTTGTGAGGGGGCCATTATATGCTTCCCCCCCCTGTTTTTATCTCGTATGTACTTTTAAAATTGCAGATGCTCAAATTAAAAATGGCACACAGCAGCCCAACTACCTGCTCTTTGTATGCTGCAGCATATCCAAGAAAGTAGTTTTAAAAGGGAGGACGTAAAATAGTCTATTTCAGACTGAGAATGAACTGAGCAACTGCACCAAGTCCCATCATCAAATTAATAAGCATTATTTTGAGGTGTGAGTCATGCAAAGCTCTAGTAAACTAGAATACAAGTCAGAAATGACGTCCCTGTAGTAGGTCCTTAATATGTCCTCTTGAAGTACCCGGTGATGTTTATAGGATCTTTATAGGTGTCCTGACAGAGACATTTTATGTGATCAGCAACAAGCATGAGGTGTCCTGTCTTTCACAAACTCTTTAAAACTTTTTTTTTGTATTCTTGTTGAATTAAATGCTTTTACTTAAGTGCTGTGCAGGTTTCTTTGCTAAAATGTAAAGTTTATTATTCCTGTCACCTTGAGGCAAGAGCATCTGCTTCTGTGCTTATAGTGGCTCTTGAACTATTAAATGCTCAGAAAGAATTGAGTTTCCCGACATCAAGGGGGTGTTAGTAAGTCTGTTTTTGGTGGCACCTAACATGAAATAAAACACCACTGCTCAACGCTCAGTTGGTGCAGTGTGTGTCAATTGAGCTCAGAAAACACCTGCTGAAAGTTAATGTGCAACTCTATAAAGAGGTTTTTTTTACTGTTGGTTTCCTCTTTGTCCACAAGATGTCCCTGTGTATCCATGAGCTCCAAGAACCACAATTACACGTCTAAAGTATCTCTGAAGTCGGCTTTTTCACTAAGCAACAGACTCGAATTAGTCAGCATGTAGGCGAGCTTGTGTTTGTAAATAACTTTGTAATCAGGGACACGTGCAGCGGGCTTTAGATTAAGTTTGGCTACAGAATAATCTCATGTGATATATTTTTTGGAGTTTTTATTTAAGTTTATTTCTTTAAGAGAAGCATTGCCCTGTGTTTCCAAGTCAGAGCTTGATTGCATCTTTTCCCAGCAGCTTGCATTAGATCAGAAAAAAAGACTATCTTGAACAGGAAGCCAGACAAATTACAGGGTAGAGCCCATGTCATGCAGCAGTAATTATCTGCAAGCAATAGACACAAAACCTCTCCAGTCACAAGAGTATGCGGTGGCTGGTTAGAATGCAGTATCTTTAAGATATTAGCGATTGTGTTTCCATCTGCAGTCCGAGAGACTGTGACATTAGTGTGCAATTATATCTGAATGTAGAAGCACCAGGAGAGAAATCTGTCAGATCTCGCGGATCATTTTAGATTTCCAGAAAGATGTGTTTGAACAAACTCATCTCAAATTCAATTCTCACTTTGCTTATACTGTTACATTTTCATTTTCTCCTATCCGCGAGTAACTCCATTATCTTTGACTCTCCGGGCAAAAACGTGTCACAAACACTTCAGTTCTCGGAAAATTATGACATTATCTTTGACAGTCATAGCAAATGTCGTGTTTTACAGTTAAATAAGCAAAAAATTTCTGTAGATAAATAGATGTCAGTGACAGTAGTTTAACAGTTACTAAGTTGTAGTTTGGTAACTTGATTTTCTAGGAGAGACAGTGTCTTGTGTTCAAAAGTTAAATCAGTAATGGTGATTTTAAATACTCTTGCCTTCAGGGTTCCAGGTTTTGGGGTATAGGCGCTATTCGTGCGTCTAAACGTCGTTCTGCCAAACGTCTCAGCCTGGCGCGATCGCTGGATGACCTTGACGTAAGTTCTTTTTCCTTCCTCACCCTTTATGCTATGAATTTGAAACATGGAAAGTGTTTTTTCATTTTAATGCTCGGATGCTCTTCTGTCCTTCCCATTCTGGTTGGCCTGTATGTACAAAAATTACCTCATTAATGTGGACGTTTGAACCATACCCCCTCCCTTTTACACTTCATCTTTTTTTCTCTTCTTTTTTTTAACCTCACATTTCCGTTGCCTTGAACTCTATGTTTGCAAGGGGTGGCTCACAAAGTGGTCTTTGTGTAAGCTAGAGGCATGTTCCTGTTTGTTTGGTGTCACTAATGAGCGCTGCTGCATGATGGAATATCATGCTCACATTTTCTCATATTAATGTTTCTGAGGAACCCTCTTTCTGTGCATGCACGTATTACTTAGGCACGCTGATTCTGATTCATATTCACAAAACTACACACACACACACGTGCTCTTATGTCTTGTAATTGCTCCGAATGCACACAAACAGGCGCAAAAATGATCCAGAAAGTGGCAGACTATATTGTGGGTCCACATAGGAGCACACTTGCAGGATCCACATTGCACTCAAAACATCACACCACAAATGTTCCTCAGGAATGTCTCAACACACACTAAAGAGCACTGTTAATAATATTAAAATGTTTACCCCAAGATGTCTTAAGCTACTTTCTTAATCAGCTATAGGTTATAATACCCCACCTCCCACTTCATCTCCTAATCCTCACTGTATGTTCACATGTACGAATCTGAGTAGCTTTTTTTTTAAGCGAGGTTACAAACTTTTACCAGTAAAAAAAAATTGAAAAAATTAAAAAGTGTATTTTTATTTTGTTTCGTAACTTCTTGTTGGCTCGTGTGCAAAGATTTCCTCACCATGCGTGGGTCTAACGGTGTGTTTCATTGTTTACTTTTTATGACTTACCAGAAATAGCTAATTACTTTGCATCAATCAAGACTAAAATTGCCTCTGAGTATGCCATCACCCCTAGCAACTAAGACATCTCTTCTCTAGTGCTGTTATGAGGTGTCTATTCCTGCCTGCTGTTAAATTTAAAAGGGGATGTTTTGAGCTGTCATATACTCTGCTTGTACAAAATAACATTGGCTGAATAGAAAGGTAGGTGTTCTCATGCTTGAAGCAGTCTGTGAAATTATCTAATCTCTTTCCCCCCTTGTCTCTCAGCGTTAGTTTGATCTGTTACATTGTTTTGTAGATCTTTGATATCTTTGTTTTATCATCTCTATGCTGGTGGGACCTGCAGTGGCACAAACAAAGAGAGGCAGGCTTAGGCTAGTCTCAGTTGGCTCAGTTAAATACAGCATATGTTTTGATACTAAGTGTTGATTATCTACAGACAAGAGTACTACATGACTTCTGTTAGTAATTACATGCTATCTAAAAGATAACTATAGCTTCATTGTCTGAAAAATGAAGCCATTGTAAAAGAGCTTTTAAACTTGCATTCAAAACAGACAGCGGGCCTATTTGCTTAAATGCTAGTTTCAGGAGATTTCAAATAAAACAAGGTTTCATTTTGTAAATTAAGAGTCAGACTAACAGCTTTTCAGTCTTAAGTAGTTAGTTTTTCTCAGTTTTGCACTCACATCTACGTGCCCATTACTCCTGGTTTCAAAACACCAGCAGTGCCACAGTGAAAATAATGAGTTGTGAGTATCACAATGAGATTTCAGGAATTAATGGGTAATCTTATGGTGGCTGTGTCCATGTTTTATATATAATCTATGTAGGGACACTATAAAATGACAGAAAAATGGAATACAATGAAATGAAAAAATGTAACTTTGCTTGTTTTGAAATATAGGGCTCATTTTTTGTGCTGTGCAACAATATAAAACAAAATGGACAGTTTAACGATTCTTTTAACATCAGTGTGAGTATTTCCAACTGACGACATTAACGCCTGTAGCTTAAAGCAAAATATTGCTCATCCTTGCTTAAATTAGAGCTGAGCTTCATAACAGGTTGCTGTATTGTGGGTTTGTTTGTCTTTGTTTCATAATGTGCCAAATGTTTTCAGCAGGTGGCAGTTTAAGACCCAGACTCTGTTTTACAGAGCTGTGCTTCTACATGCAGAATGCGGTTTGCATAGGCCCTCCTTTAATAAGATGTCTATATGATGATATATAGCTGCATATATTGTTCAGCATTAATGGTGCCTTCACAAATGTGTATTTTACCCATGCCACATGCACTAATGCACTTCCACAGATCGAGCCGTATGATATCACTATTCTTTAGTCAGTATGATGTGGTGTGTGTGATTTCCAAAAATCCCAAATTCAAATTTTCAGTGATAAAATTTGTTTTTAATCTGCAGTTTTAAGTCACGGTACTGCTATACATTCCAAATAATAAGAGTTTAGGGAATTTATGATTTTCAGAGACTTTTCAGTGTGCACCTCGGGCTCTGCTCTGGATTTTAATTTCACAAGCTTTCATCTTGCAGTCATGGCCAGATATCAGGTTTTCTATAAGCAACTCTGTTCTCCCATAGCAAATTAAAGCCATCCAATGGCACCAATTTGGTTCTTATAGACTTACACATATGCAGAATTGGGTGGTGCCTCTTAAGCACCAGATTTGGAGAATGACCTGTTCAGGAAATGATTTTTAGCATGGGAATCTTTGAAGAATGAAGTGAAATTTAAGGACTTGTTTCCCCCCTACTTTAAAGGTTGTGGTCCCCTTCAGAGCAAAAATAAGTGACAAATGATGGACACAGCAAGCTGATGCACTGTAGTAAACTCTTTACCTCAGAAGACTCTTTAACCTCCTAAGATCCGAGCTCTTCTACGGCATGTATTTTTAATTTCTCTTTGATATTTGGGCATTTTGGGGCCCGATGAATGTAAAAACAAAGAATTACCAGATTCATTTTTTTTGCCTTATTTTTGTTTTTATGAAAAATTAGAGCCACATATGAGGATATTTGTTTAAAATCTTGATAGAACAGTAGCAGTATAATGTCTAATGTATAATGTCTTCATAAGTGGAAATAAGGCCCTTGTAGAGCAAAATTGAGTATTTTGGTCTAAATAACCCAAAATGTGATGTCCAGGTTAATACAGGGAGAAACTCCTGTCCAAGTGTTTGGTTTCTGCAGGATTTTCTGACTTGTGTATAGTTGTGAAGGACTGTTCTCATAACAAGCCTTTTCAGAAAACACACGATAAGCTCTCATTCAGTGCATCTGGACTCACAAGGACACTGTGAGGCTCTTTACGAGTTCCCCCTCATGGATAACTTCTGTATGCGTTCTTGTAGCATTTTGTGTCCATAACAATCTGAAACTATGGGTGACACAGTGGCCAGAAATGAGCATACTTCTGGAATCTTTCCTCACACGGCTCTGACATGTCATAGTAGTAGTAGTATTGTTGCTTTGCAGTGTTTGCCTTCCTTCTTCACCAAAAGAAGAAACTGCTATATAACCCTGTGCTTGTGTATGTAGTAATTCATTTTTTTTGCCCCTGCTGCTTTTCCCTCAGAGAGTACTCCGATGCTAAGCTTTTCTTCGTGCCGAAGAGCGTCCTGTTTTGTACATCCTTGTATTATTTCTCATTCAGAGCCCCACTGCAAACCCCCACCACCCCACACACCCACACACAGCCCCCCACATCCCACTGCTCCGGTGCTGTAAGCCTGTGTCTCACTCATCACACACTCAGCTGCAAACAGATGCTTTGCGCCCTCCATGCTCAGCAGACGACAGTGTGTTCAACTTTGCAAAGATGACACCATTAGCTGGCTGCTGCGACTGTGCTCAATCTGACTATGTTCGGAGGTGTTGCGGCATTTGAGAACATCTGTTCCTGCGAGCCGTTAATGGTTAATGCGTGCCGTTTGATTCGGGTAAATTTGCTGGGGAAATTTTTTGCCTCTTTGCTCCGTGCCTGAAGTTTCTCCCTCTCCTTTTCTTTTAGGTGTGGAAACATTAGCGGCTTTTGTTTACATGATTGTGGGTAAGAGATGTATGCTGTGGGCGTAGCAGAAACCCAGACAGGGCATGAAGACACATAGACGGAGAGGGAGGTAAATAGAGAAGGAATGAGGAGGAATTCACAGCAAAGAGAGCGAGAGAGGGAGGGAGAGAGAAAACGAGGGGAGGGATATTGATAGAGAGAGAGAGAAAAGAGAGAGGAACCGGCAGCAGAGGAAGAGAGGGGAGCTTTTGAACTCTCAGTGGCTGTCAGGATTTTCGGCTCCTCTGCACGCTCTCTCCTCCCTCGCTCAGCTCTGCCTCTCTGCACTGCAAACACAGACTTGCACACGCACCGCGCGAGATCCAGCGGATGGACTCTCTTACACACACCAGGCGTGTGGAGCAGCGCTGAAGACGGGCAAAGCACACAGCGCCATACATGGAGCAAACTTTAACGCTCAACTCCGTAAGTCACAAAAATCCTGCCACGCGTGCTTTTTTTTTTTTGCCCATTTGGTGATGGCACCTTCATCTTTCACACTAGGGATGTCTTGGCTGCCACACTGTTACTTCTTCTTTGGGCTCTTTGTAGCTCCTGTTGTAGCTTTCTGAGCAGCATACAGTGGTTAGCTTGTGTGGTCTGTCAGAGGAATGTTTTGACCAGTGCCAGCTGAGACTCCCATGTGCTGTGTGACACACACTACACTGCTGTATGCAGGAAAATGTGGCATTGCGTCTAGATCAGGATGCACGACGACTTTAAATTAGATGTCGTACTGAAAGAGTTTTGTTAAGTGACCCGGAGGCTTGTTATTGTAAACTGCATGGGGCCTTTTCAATGAAGCGCGCTCTGTTGCACTTGCCCCGAGAAATGACCCTTTCCGCAGCGAGTCGGCAGCACCGGGAGAAGTTCGATTGAGCTGAAGCGACGTTGAGATCCGGCGTCGTCGCTGTCGGATGGTATTAAATCGGCAGTGAATTCTCTGTAGCTTTTTATTCTGAGGGAGTCATCTAACAGCCACAGTTTAGTCTGAACTTGAAATGGTTGCCTGTGGTTTT